TGGACGGAAAGGTTTTAGTTCTCAGTTACGCAGTTCTATGTGATCACAATTAATTTGTAAAAAGAGTGAACACAGGCCCAGGTACCTCTTCGTAAATACTAGGATGTTAAATGTCATTTGAAAGGTTTTTGCATAAGAATGTAAGAGTGTAAACATGTTTAAATCTGGACTGTGTGAACTAAGATGAAGCAGAGAAGACAGCTGTCCTGCACACTCCATGATGGTAATATATTGGCTACTGGCCCACATAATAGTTAACTAAATATGGTAGTTATTTAGTTATTAACTAAATATGGTAACTTCCTAAATGCGTGTTGGATACCAGCTTTATCAGAATTCTCAAGAGAAACAGAATCAAAGAGATTTATTTCAAGGAATTGGCTTACGTACTTATGAGGGCTGGCAAGTCTGAAATCCATAGGGCAGGCCAGCAGGCTGGAAACTCATATAAGACTTGAGCATGTAGGGATTTTTTTAGGGGGGGTTGTTTTCGTTTTTGTTCTATCACCCTGGCTGTAGTGCAGTGGCACCATCATGGCTCACTGTAGCCTCAGTCTCCTGGACTCCAGCGATCCTCCCACCTCAGCCTCTTGAGTAGATGGGACTACAGGTTCGTGCCACCACGCAAGGCTAATTTCTGACCGTAGAGATAGGGTCTCTCTCTGTTGCCTAGGCTAATCTCGAACTCCTGGGCTCAACCAATCCTCCTGCCTTGGCCTCCCAAAGCACTGAGATTACAGTTATGAGCCATCATGCCCAGCTGATGCTGTAGTCTTGAGGCAGAATTTCTTTCTCTTCAGGAAACCTCGGTTTTGCTCTTAAAGGCCTTCAACTACCTGGATGGGGCCCCACCCACATTATCTAGCATCATCTCCTTTTTTTAAAGTCAACTGATTGTAGATGTTAACCGTGAAATACCTCTACACCTAGATTAATGTTTCATTAAGTTACTGGGTGCTAGAGCCCAGCCAAACTGACATAGGAAACTAGCCATCACATCAGCCAATGAGGAAAAGTTGATATTTTGATCAGTCCCTTAAGATTGGCATTAATAATTTTATAAATAAGGTTTCAAGAACTATCTTCTTACAGTTTGAAGAGAAGTAGGTCCTCTCCCTATCACCACATCCTTGGGAGCTGTCTTGCTCTTAGGGTCATCTTGCTCTGTCACTGAAACGCATTTTTTCCCCAAGACACCAAAGACCATCATAAAATGCTTAGCTTAGGACACATTTTCTACAGAAATTCCTTCAATTCTGAAGATAATTTTGTTTCTGCCACTTTGTCTTGATTTATACAGCCAGTCAGCCTGAGGGCAGGCTTGAAGATGACAGATAAAGTAAATGTTCCAAGAAAATAATACCTAAGTCCTTTTGAGTAATTTGTTGGGGGCCCTTCATTTACTTTTTCCCAGTAAAAATACTTTCCCCCCACCAATTAAATTCAGATTGCTATAACCATGCTGCTCCCCTCTTGTTCCCAGTTTAAATGAAAACTTACAGAAATTTTCCCTAAAGAGCTTTCACCACTTTTGCCTGAAAAGAGGACCACTGTGTTTCCCGGCTCTTGGCAAGCCTATATAAGGTACCTGAGAATGAAAATGGTTCAAGGTATACTTGGCTTCATTTTGCTGTAGGTAGAGAAAATAATTACATCTTGCAGTTGACGGTGGTGCAATTTGGCAGAGGATAGAAACATTTTAGGGATAATTGAAGGACCACCTCACCGACAAAGATGAAAAAGACCCAAACAATTCTTGGCAGGACCGCCCATTCAGGGAATGACATTGAATAATGTATGTATGAAGACAAAGGGGTGGTTGCCTGTGTGCATTTGCTAAAGAGCTTCTCTAATCACTTGAGACTCCCTGAATTTCCACTCTGAAGGTTAAGGTTTATATGACTCCATCATTAGAAAGAGAAATAATAAAATTAACTTTCATTTACCCACATTACATACAATGAAGTATGGTCATAATAAATAACTAAGAACATCAAGAACCAGATAATCATTCAAATTTAGTTTATTTATTCAGAGACTTTCTGCTACATAATTTGTTTAATCAGGGATATTTTTGGCTTGGCAGGAGTGTAGGGCTTACATGTTATTGGAAGGGGAAGAAAGTTACCCCTTTCCCAATATATCATTGAATCTTCGAAGCTGCCAGATAGAACAGGACAATATCTTTTCTAGACATATTGTTTGGCATTCATAAATTTACAAGTGGCAGAGATGCCTCCTGAGAGGAATAGGTTTCTTAGTGGAAAATAAAATTAAATTGAGAGTATAATATTTGCTAGATAAAAATCCACTTCTTCAATTCGAATATCACACTTTGTTTTGCCTAGTTCTTCTTCTTCTTTTTTTTTTTTCTTTTTGAGTTTAGAAGCAGAGGTTTATTTTTATTTTATTTTTAAATTTTTTAAGACAGAGTCTTGCTGTGTCACCAGGCTGGAGTGCAGTGGTGTGATCTTGGCTCACTGCAACCTCTGCCTCCCAGGTTCAAGCAATTCTCCTGCCTCAGCTTCCTGAGTAGCTGGGACTACAGGCATGTGCCATCATGCCCAGCTAATTTTTGTATTTTTAGTAGAGATGGGATTTCACCATGTTGGCCAGGATAGTCTCGAGCTTCTGAACTCATAATCCACCTCGGCCTCCCAAAGTGCTGGGATTACAGTTGTGAGCCACAGGAGCAGAGGTTTAACAGCCAAAGAATGAGAAAGGAAAGCAGTCCTCTTTCTCTCATGAGAGAGAGGGGTGTCTGAAAGGAAAAAGCCCACCTAGTTCCTCAGAATCATCAATAAGTGGGTATTCAAGAAGTGGATAATTTTTTAGAAAAGTGGAAAAGTCAAAAATAGTGCATTACTCGTGCTATTCTAAGCAAAATAGTAAATTAGGTACAGATTTCTAGTATGACTGGACACCTAAGACTGAAGTAACCAATGCTTAACTGCTAGACTTGGTCACTTCTTCTGCAAAATGATTAAACCTTCAGATTTACTTTACCCTAAAACTCGACTAACAGAACATGTCAGATGAAGAACTAAGACTGACTCTTCAGTGGGGACAAGCTATTCAGAATCCAAGGAACCAGGATTCTCATTCGATATTGTACTGGTCAGGGTTCTCCAGTGAAACAGAACCAGCAGTATAGATGTATAGAGACATAGGTAGATAGATAAGTGGATAGATAGATACAATGAGATTTATTATGAGGAATTGAATGTATTATGACTGTGGTGGCTGAGAAGTCCTACAATCTGCCATTTGCCAACTGGAGACCCAGGAAAGCCAGTGATGTAAATCAGTTTGAGTTCAAAGACCTAAGAACCAGAGAAGCCAATGCAGTAATTCCCATCCATGGGCAGGAGAAGATGAGATGAGATGAGATATCCACGCTCAAGCAGTGAGACAGAAAAAAGGAGCAAATTCCTCCTCCTTTTTTGGCCTTTTGTTCTATTCAAGCCCTCAGTGGATTGAATGATGCTCATTCTCATTGGGAAGGCAATCCACCTACTGAACCCAACAATTCAAATGCTAAGGTCATCCAGAAACACCCCCACAGATATACCCAGAAGTAGTGTTTAATCTGGGCATCCTGTGGTCCAGTCAAGTTGGCACACAGAATTAACCATCATAAATAATCATAAATATTAATAATTATAATTGATACTATGATTTAAGCACCTAATTAGAGCCACATGCTTTACATACTTTCCTCAATTTTAACATGAAAGAGTCATGGGGTACCTACCTAGCTCACTTCAATTTCCTTTTCCTGAGAACCATCCTTACCCAGAAATAGGTCCCATAACTGTGTTGCTAGTACGGGTATCCCTGGCCACAGCTGATTGAATTAGAGGGTGATACTTGACAAAAAGGAGCAAAACAGGTTCTATTTCCACTATACTTTGAAATGGTGCCTAAAGACTAGTATATCAGTCACTTGAACAGAAGAGTTATGAAGAGCTATAGAGTGAGCATCTTCCTCATGTGGAAGAAGGATGAGAGATGGACAGAGTACCTGTTAGGTGCTTGCTTGTCACATTGTTCAGATCCTATTGAGACTAATCTACCTTTGGGGTCCATTTGATAACTCAGTGCACTTCCCCCAAAATTCTTTTTTTTGTTGTTGCATAAAGCTGGTTCAAATTATATTTACTTCCTATATCAAACCTGTTTTATAGATGAGAACAGTGAGAAGTTGAGTAACTTGCACAGGGCTACTGGCACAGGGCAGCAGAGCTGAGATTAAATCGATATCATATTGACTCTTGAGCTTATTATTTATCTCCTATGCCATTAGAAGAAAGTGTTTCCTTTTCTCAGCTATCTTAGCAGGCTCAGACTCCCATAAAATTAATTATAACCATGTGACTTGCTTTGGTGAAAGAAACATACACAGAGGTGACATGATTCATTCTTAGTGGAGATATTGATTGCCAGTGCTTAACTCTCCATGCTGTTCCTTTTCCAGCAACCCCACAAGCACATCACAGTATGGAGGAAACATAAGATCAAAGAAGCATCCAACACTGAGCTAGCACGTGCAGAGCACCTGTGTGGGAAGCCACCTAAGCTGACAGTGGACTTCTCATGAGAAATAAAATTTGTTGTTTTAGGACACCAAGATTTTGGAGGTTTCTTTGTTTAGCATTATCTATCTTATCCTACTATATTTAACCAACAACATCTTATGCCCCAGGCCTACTTCTGTCTTTGATTTCATATTAAATTAATTCCAACTTCCTCTTCTCTTAGAGCTATAATTTCAGTTATATATGGCTTCATAACAAACCAGTCCAAAGCTTAAAACAACAATAAATTATTATTTCTCATAATTCTGTTTAACAATAACCCATGAGGAGCAAGTGAAGTCACCCATATTTTGCAAAGGAGACTGGAGCTCAGAAATCTGGACACCTCAAATCACACAACTAGTAAATGGGAGAAGGGAAACTGCAGCTCAAGTCTGATTACTGCAAGGCCTGTGTTTTTTGTTTTTTACCATTAATGCATCACAGTTACTGTGGCCAACACACGCTGTGTTATCTAACAATGATTTCCATGTTCGATCTTTTCAGGTTTTGAAAATTGATTGACAAATGAATAAGAAAACAATCCATTAAAATATTTTTTCTAGAGCTTAGATTATTTATCGATTATTTTAATTTGGAGGGATGTACCTAATTCCTAAAGACCTTGATAATGATCTTATAACAGAGCTGTTAGCAATGTTTACTTATTGTAAAACAATCCCCAACTAAGCCAGGATGGTTGTTTGGAAGTACACACCTATGCAAACCCTGAAAGGGGATTTATTTAGATTTTGCAGTGCCCAAATTTTCTTCTGAGGAATAGAGCTCCTTTACTGTACCCTAGTCCCATGACAGAATTTCAGCCCAAAACTCCCAGTCCCACCGTTCCTTTAAGGCATTTATGCTACAGTGCAAATGTCAGTACTCATGAGACTTGTATCACTGGGGTGGAGTTGAGATGGGTTGGCTTGCACATAAAAATTATACTGAGAAAGTGTGCAAAATTGCACTCATTATTGCTTGTAATTCCTGGATGCTTGAGACTAAGTCACACAGAGATTAGGATCAGATCTGGTTCAGAAGTGCTACCTGTGGTGCTGTTGTTATGGTAACCAATGGCCAAGGAACAGAGATCCAGGGAAACTATAGTCTTTGCTGCCATCATGAGCTGGGCTCTGCCACCAGACCTTCCCTGGATGACGTGCTTCACTGAGGAATGGCTTCTGCTGTATCCTGTTGTATGGTTCCATACTCTCGGTCCCCAGCCTCCAAATGACACTTTTCATTAGGAACCTCAGCTGCCTGGGCCTTTGATCCATTCCCTTCACTTTTGTTGTCACTTTTCTGATTTGGAGAGAAATAAGGAAATGTTTTACTGTACAAACAAAGACCTCTGAACTCCCCTTATTGTGCAGATGCCCATGTAAGAAGCTTCTACTTTAAGCAAACTCAGGCTTCACACCCAACTGCCTTCTTCTACAACACAGCTCATGATATCCTAACTTCGCGGGAGTGAGGCAAATAGGAAGAAGTGTCCTGGGGTGAGAAGAACTAGAAAAATAAGTCAGGCTGACTATGGGAGTTTGGTGAAATTGTAGTACATGATTACCAGGTGGAAAAAATAATTTTCTTTACTGACCTAAAGTTGGAGCAACCAACATTCCTATCTCAGGCCCCTTGGCCCCATCAGAGTGTCACATACCTTGTTTTGTATCCTGTAGTACTCATTTAACACATACTGATATTTGGGTTGAGTAAGACCGAAGAAGACAGCAAAACTTCCACCAAGGAATTCACATGCTAAAAGAAAGAATGAGCACTTGGGTAAACCGAATTAATAACTAAAGCTTAGCATCAGCTGAGGGCCAAGTTTAAACTACTCTGCAAGTGATCTCTTAATATACTTAACTTGAAGCCTGATAAAAGATTTCAATTGCCTTGGCCTCTCAAAAATTCTAGGATTCAAAGGAAATTTGTCAACTCTTCTATCTTTCTATGGGATTATATATAAACTATTTTTTCCACATGTATATATCAGGAGAGATTATCAATATATTTTAACAACAGGTACAGCATGGGTCCTGAGCAACCAGAACAGGTACTGCTCATTAACCCCATGTGTACCGGCTTACATTTCAGATTAAACCCAAACTCAACCCAGTGTTACCAAGATCCACATCAGGAATTCTTCCATGCATCCAGACAGACTCCTCAGAAGTCGTTCAAGGCCTTCCTTGTCTGCCTTGGTAGCAAGGTGGCCTGCAGACTCAGCCCTGGGCTTGTTAGAGGCAGGGATAAAGGTGTAGCATGAACAATGAGTGGTTCCTGAAGATGTCCCCTAGAAATGTTTTGCTTTAAAATTAGAGGATTCCTGACAACCTTCTCTTATGCCCCAATTATAGGACTTTCTGATTCCTTTGATTCATTCTGCCTCTTGGGATATCGCTCACATAGGGCATCAAAATGATGCTATTTTTAATATGTCTTATCTTTTCAAAAATATGCTATCTCTTTGTTCTGTATATTTGTAGTAGATAAGTTTTTTAAAGAATATTAAAATAAATCTTAGGGAGCTTTCCTGTTTATGACCTACTAGAATTTTAACTTGAAAGAATTAATTACCAGTGTCACCTGGGTTTCAACTCCATTCAAACAAAATCTCAGTCTAGAGAGACCACAGTCCTGACTGCTAGCATCTTTATGCCTCCACTACAACTTTGAAGCATTGTAGGCAGGAGCATTTTTTCACTGCAGCTCTGTTTGGAACTCACAAGAAAGCTAGGCTCGCCATCCTATCCCTGAAATCTCAAATCAAAACCCAACATGCAAATCACTCTTCTCCATACTGTCAATCCCATATTGAGTTTTACTTCTTTTACATGACCTAATCTTCTCTGATTTCCTCCATCTGAAACATATCCCATTTTTTAATTTTTGTTTTTGTTTGTTTGTTTGTTTGAGACGGAGTCTCGCTCTGTCACCAGGCTGGAGCGCAGTGGTGCAACCTCGGCTGACTGCAACTTCCGTCTCCTGGGTTCAAGCGATTCTCCTGCCTCAGCTTCCCAAGTAGCTGGGATTACAGGCACATGCCACCAACCCAGCTAATTTTTATATTTTTAGTAGAGACGGGGTTTCACTGTGTTGACCAAGATGGTCTCAAACTCTTGACCTCACGATCCGTCTGCCTCGGCCTCCCAAAGTGCTGGGATTACAGGCATGAGCCACCGCGCCTGGCCTGAAACGTGTCTTTTTAAACCCTTTTGTCTTTACTGAAGTGTAGAGCTTTCTGGAAGACAGCATTTTTTTCTGTTAACATATTGCAGTCAGGGTAGGGTTAGTATTCACTGGGATTTTCAATGTAACTTCCGAATCACTAATTCTCTGTGCTTGTGTAAAAGCATTTATTTCTTGAAGGTTCATATCATCTGACTAAATCACCTCATCTTTACTTTTTACTGTAATTTAAAGACTCTCTGGTCACTTTCATGGTCCTCAAGCTAGCCTCAGCCAGCCACACTGTCATAGCTCTCTGAAGGTGTCTCCTCCATATGTCAGTATGCCCGAGTCTTCCAGGTCATAGTCCCTGTGCACTCCTACCCTGGCAATTGTGAAAACAACTTATAATTATGAGCATGTTTGCTGATCTACATGATTCACTGAACAATGAGCCCCTTGAAAGCAAGACTGTCATTCATCTTTGTGTCCCAGGGTCCAGCACAGTGCTGAGCATATAGTAGACAGTAAATGTTTTTTAAATGAATGAATGAAGATCACTTTCTAAGAGCTATAAATACATTTTATATTTTCTCAGATTCTTAAAGTAGTTTGCCTTTCTACCATATTCACAAGATGTGCAAGTTAGAAGGAAATGAGTAATTAGATGTTGTCAACTATGTCTTAAAAAAATTGGTGAAAGTAAAACAAAATAAGATTTAGTATTTTGTTATAAATATTCACTTAGCCCAGTCATTATGTCTCTAGGAGGGATCAATAAAATTCATGTTTATAATAAAGCAATTATGATGAGGGAAGTAGAAACTTAGAACTGTATATATACAATATATATATATATATATATTTGAGACGGAGTCTTGCTCTGTCACCAGGCTGGAGTGCAGTGGCACAATCTTGGCTCACTGCAACTTCTGCCTTCACAGTTCAAGCGATTATTCTGCCTCAGCTTCCTGAGTAGCTGGGACTACAGGTGTGAGACACCACACCCAGCTAATTTTTGTATTTTTAGTAGAGATGGGGTTTCACCATGTTGGCCAGGATGGTCTCAATCTCTTGACCTCGTGATCTGCCCACCTCGGCCTCCCAAAGTGCTGGGATTACAGGCATGAGCCACCACACCCAGCCAATAATTATTTTTTTAAACTTGGAAGTTTATTCAGATGAAGAGTCAACTAAGGGGGGACTGATTATTGTCCTCCAATATTTGAAACTCTGGGCCTATGAAAGAGGCATCTAGCCTAGTTTGGTATGGTTCTAAGAAAGAAAAGTAGGAACTTTGTAAGTAGATAAAATTGGGCTGAGATAAGAAAGAATTTCCTGATGAGAGCTGGTAAAAGATGAAGGATCCACCTCAGAATGTGAGGTTCTGTGCCTTTGGAAATTAAAGCCTAGCCCAGATCTCACTTCTTCAGGATGCGATGGAGTGGCTTACACAATTGGAAGTCCCACATAACTCTGAGGGCCTATCAATATTTATGTCTATTTAGGACAGAAAAAAAATAACCTTAGCAGTACTTACTAGAAAATGAGGTGCTTGCTATTCGTCCTGCCCAAAATCGTAGGTAGGGCCCCCAGGAAAGTTTAGACTGAAAAAAGGAGAAATCAACATAGAGTAATTAATAAGAAGAATGGTGACTGCAGATTTGTTTTAATGTAGAAATTTCAAAATGCTCTATCTATATAGTATGTTCCATTTTCTCTCACACAGATGAAGAGACTAAGATGATTAAAATTATAAGTTGCCTACACATGGATCTAGAAAGCAAAAAAGGAGACCAAGGACTTAGTTTAAAGCTATTTTTTCTATAAACCGTGTCTGGCTCAATTTCTCGTTCATTTACCACCTCCCCCACCACGTTCCCTAATATTGACGTACTAAGCTTACAGGGTCAAGTGTTGAATTTCTGCTCTGTTCCTCTTGTTTCTCTTTTTCCTCTTCCTCCTCTTCCTCTGTGCTAGATTCTTCCATGATGTCTCCATCAACAAAATGGATAATCCTTCTAGGAGTAGTCTTTTTGGAAGGTACACTCTTCTCTAGGTCTAACTGCTGAAAACCGTCTATCTCCATAATGAAACAAAACAACTAGAAAATTAAAAACAGGGTACCTTAGGGCAAGTTACCGACAGCTGAGAGTTATCTAGTTATCTTCAATAGGTACTAAAGACAGAGATTTCAGAGGTAATCACACTTGTGACCTCTTCAATTCTTCAAATCCAAGAAAGGACTGTTCTGTTCTCTACCAAAATGAAGGTGATTTGATAAGTAGTGAAAATGTGAACTTTCAGTCTTCAAACAAAAGTGTCAACAGGGTTTTCTCACCTTTTGTTAACTTTAAAACGCACAATTGCCAGTAGGGAGGAGTCACTGCCCTGCAGAAGTTTCTCAATTATTTCAATAAGTATTGAGAAGCAATGAAGGAAATGGTTGAGTATAGACTTCACAGACAGGAGAAAACATGTGCGAAGTATATATTTGGTAAAAGACTTATTTTCAGAACATGTAAAGAATGATTACAGTTCCTTAGGTAAAAGGTAAACAATTCAATTAAAATATGGTCAAAATATTTGAGTAGAGATTTTACCAAAGATTTACAGATGACTAATCTCATTAGTCATTAGGGAAATATAAATTAAAATCATAATGAGATATTATAACATACCCATTGTAATGGCTAAAAAAAGGTTTTTTTGAAATGGAGTTTAGCTCTTGTTACCTGGGCTGGAGTGCAATGGCGTGATCTTAGCTCACTGCAACCTCTGCCTCCTGGGTTCAAGTGATTCTCCTGCCTTAGCCTCCTGAGTAGCTGGGATTACAGGCGTCTGCCACTATGCCTGGCTAATTTTTTGTTGTTTTAGTAGAGATGGGGTTTCACCATGTTGGCCAGGCTGTTCTCAAACTCCTGATGTCAAGTAATCCACCCACCTCGGCCTCCCAAAGTGCTGGGATTACAGGTGTGAGCCACCATGCCCAGCCTATTTTTTTGTTTTTGTTTGTTTGTTTTTTGAGATGGAGTCTTACTCTGTTGCTCAGGCTGGAGTGCAGTGGCGCAATCTCAGCTCACCACAACCTCCACCTCCTGGGTTCAAGTGATTCTCCTGCCTCAGGCTCTTGAGAGGCTGGGACTACAGGCACGCCCCACCGTGCCTGGCTAATTTTTCTATTTTTAGTAGAGATGGGGTTTCACTATGTTGGCCAGGCTGGTCTCAAACTCCTGACCTCGTGATCCACCCACCTTGGCCTCCCACAGTGCTAAGATTATAGGCATAACCTACTGCACCTGGCCAAATTTTCATTTTTTATTTTTTGGGACAAAGTCTTGCTCTGTTGCCCAGGCTAGAGTGCAGTGGCATGATCATGGCTCACTGCAGCCTTGACCTCCCAGACTGAATTGATGTTCCTGCCTCAACTTCCTGAGTATCTGGGACCACAGGCGCATGCCACCATGTCCGGCTAATTAAAAAAATACAAAAAAATTAGCCAGGCATGGTGGCATGTGCCTGCAGTCTCAGCTACTTGGGAGGCTGAGGTGGGAGGATTGCTTGAGCCCAAGAGGTGGAGGTTGCAGTGAGTTGAGATTGTGCCGCTATGCTCCAGCCTGGGTGACAGAGCAAGACTCTGTCTCAAAAGAAAATAAAAATTAAAAAAAGATGCAACAAATATATGTTTAAAAAATAGTAAATAGGATGACAAATGTCAGGAAGTATTGATTTTTAAAAACACTATTTTGGTGGGGACGGTATAAAGACAAAACAGAGTATTAAGTATTAGATAATAAAAAAATATGAGTTGACTTCAGCTATTGTTTTGGGATAGGCTGGATAAGATAGGTTGCTAAGTACGCATGTTAACAATTGGAAGGTAACTAGACAAATAATGGAATTAGAATGTGTAGCTTCAAAACTAGTGGAAGAAAATAAAAAACACTCTGATGGAAGGCAAGAAAGAAGCAACAGTAAAGAAAAATCATGATCAAAAGAAACACTGAATAAAATATTAGCAATAATTCTAAGTAAGTCAATAATCATAATAAATGCAAATGGATTGTCAGCCATCCATTAAAATGAAGAGTAGCAGATCGAATTTAAAAAAAATATTCTATGGGCAATGCAAACATGAATGAATATATATATACACACACACACACAAATAAATCACCAAATCTTATTGCTACAATGTTGAGCTTAATGCCTTTGTCAAAGGTCAGAGTTGCAAAAGACTTGCCAAAGGTTACATTTGTCATCCACAGCAAGGTGATGTGATATCTGCCCTGCTCTGGGGACCTCTGAATATTACACATGGTTTCCCCTGACTTAATGATGGTGTATCATAGAAAAGCCTCAGAAAGAAGTAGGAATAGGTATTACCATTTAGTTTCTGATGCTAAAGAGCAGCAAAAGAATGCCCATTTTAATTTGGTATGTAAGACCAACGGTATGTTAAGCATAATACTATTGCACAAATAAATATTATCAGTGCCATAAGAAACAAAACACATTCTACAACAAGCAAGAGAAAATTAAAACATTTTCAAAAAGTAACTTACATAATTCCTCTGTATTTTTCTTTCCTTAGTTACGTACAAATTTTGATGTTAGGGATTGTTCAATAGATGATAAGGGTTAAGGGTTCTGTAGGCTGAGGCCATACAGAGTGCTTGGATATGCTGACGTGGATGTGTTCTCTTGCATGTCTTACAGGGTGGAACATGTTTGAGTTGTGGGAAGGCCTATATTTACACATATAACATTAGCTAAGCCCAGTGGCTCTCAAAATTATTTTGTTATGTGAACCATCTGGGGGTCTTTTAAATAATTTCAAAGACAGGCCACACCTCAGACCACTTAAATCACAATCTCTGTGGGTGGAACTCAGGCACTAGTATTTTTTGAAGCTGCCCAGGTCATCCCAGTGTTCAGGCAAGTTTGGGGACCAATGCCCTAAAGAAAGTGGGACAAGAAGAAACTTTGAAACTGAAACAGAAAGAAACTTATGATTTAGTGATTTGGTTTATTGCAGAAAGCTTAAACATCAGGCTAGTTGCAAGACTCCTTGCCTTTTTTTTTTCCAAGGGGCATTCTTGCTTTCTACTTTCTGAACATTTCTTCACCCTGCCCCAAGCTAAAAAGCTTAAATATCAAAAGTTTAAAAATAAGGCCTAATAGTGTCATTATAGTCAATTTACTCCTCTTAAAACTGTCCAAATTCATACATTTCCAAACCTAATGAAACATAAGCACACCCTCAACCCCTGCACACCTGGCTCACCTCCTGTGTTATCTTACAGACTGATGGTATCTGTTGGCTCTCTGAAGAAAATACCAGTCTCTGTTCTTCTTGATTATGGTGTTGTACATTAACAGACATACACATCTTTAAGTTCAGAGGGCTCTCTGAGAGGCTGGAGGGGAGTGGAGAAAGCGTGAACCAGCACAAGAGCGAGCACTAGCTAGCTCACAGTTGGTTTACTGAATGTTTTTCTGCCACCTAATGGGCATTTTAGAATATGCAATGCAAACTTCATGTTTATAATCAGTGCATGTCTCACAGAGGGGTCTCAATAGTGAACAGGTTGGAATCAACTTATTTATAAAAACCTTGGGAGCACTGCCAGCTTCACATTTAGATGTGGATATTTTGTAAGTGATATTTTAGCTTCAGTTTCTTTTCTTTTTTTTTTTTTTTAGACACGATCTTGCTTTTGCCCAGGATGGGGTGCAGTGGTGTGATCTGTGTTCATTTCAACCTCGACCTCCCATAGGCGTATGCCACTACACCCAGCATTTTTTTTTTTTTTTGCAGTTTTTGTAGAGGTAGGGTCTCCCTATTTTTGTCCAGGCTGTTCTTGAACTTCTGGGGTCAAGCAATCCTCCTGCCTCAGCCTCCCAAAGTGCTGGGATTACAGGCATGAGCCACCAGGCCGGGCTCAGTTTCTTAACCCCAAATATAAAGGATAGTACCCAAGTATATAATGTGATTAACAGAACATATAATCTCTCTGACCTTTTGAATACTGTATTAGCCCAGGGCTCAGTGATTGGACCGCTTCTCTTTTCTATCTGCTTTCTTGATGATCTCCTTTGGCCCTATGGCTTTAAATACTATGCACTCACAGGTGATTGCAACATTTATATTCTCCAGGTCAGACTTTTTCCCTGAATCTCACAGATCAACTACCTGCTTGACATCTCTTCTTAGTTGTCTAATAGACATCTCAATCGTAATTTGTCTATATCTTTGCTCATGCTTTCAGTGCAACTCACACACCTTCTCATCTCAATAAACGGCAACTCTATTCTTCCAGTTGCTCAGGCCAACAACATTAAAGTCATTCTTGGTTCTTCTTTAATCACTCCTCACATTAAATCTGCCAGGAAATTCTCTTGGATATTTCTGGAATCATACTTTCATTACTCCACTGCCACCACCCTGGTCTATCATCTCTCACCGTTGCCATCGTCTCTCACCTAGATTATCGCAGCAGCCTCCTAATTGGCCTCTTCCAGTCTACACTCACAAAGAAGCCAGAATTGTTAAATCCTAAGTCAGATCATGCCATTTCTCTGCTTAAAACTCGCCAGTGGGTTCTCGTCTCACCTAGAGTGAAACCCAAAGTCCTCACAATGGCCTACAAGGCTGTGTATCTAACCCCTGTGAGCTTTATGATGCTGTCTTGTACTACTCTCCCCAACTGACATCACTCTAACCACACTGGCCTTCTTACTGCAATTCCTTGTTCATTGCTCATTTCCAGTCTTTAACTCAAATGGAGACTACGCTGAGCTCCGCTTTCAAGGCAACCTCCCATTGCCTTCACCACCGCCCTTTGCATCTTACCTCCTGTTTCATTTTTTCTCCTTAGCACTTACCAACACTGAACACTCCATATTCCAAGTGTCTCTGTCTTCCCCTTCCTCCCTGTCCCACCCCTTGGCAGAGTGGGAGGGTTTTTACCTCTATGTTCACTGCTGTATCTTCTGCCTGTACAATGCATTACACATAGCTGGAACTCAGTATTTGTTTAACAAATGAATCATACATTTAGTTAATGTTAATGGGTGGGAGGAGGTATATAACAGATTGGAAAAATAACAAACTTGAATTGTCTTTATTTCCTGCTTTAGAAATGACTATCCTTCATTTAATATTTTTCTGATTACATCTATATACTAATCATTTCATTTTGATTAACTCCTTCACTGAAAAGAGTTAAAGCATTATAATCTGTACCAAGGAAATAACACATTAGTTCTACATCTTGGCATTTAACTTCAATAAGTAAATATACTATTTTAAATATATAACACTTAAAATTTTCTAGAATTCTTTCCATTTATCTAGAAATGTTTTCAAATGGACTATGTTAAAATTCAGCTAAGAACTAACGTTGGATCATTACACAGGAGCTAATTAGCGTTGCTTGCCCGGAGCTGCTGGTCCCCCTTCCTGCTTTCACCTTTCCTTCTTCCTGAGGTGGGTGAAAGGTCAAACCCCTGGTGAGAGCAGAGAGACCCAAGGCCCCACTGCGCACCTCAGAGGCAGAGCTTCACAGCACAGTATTCACATTTCTCTAGGCCCCTTCACCTGAGGGAACTGGCCTGCTCCAATCAGTGACCTGCCGTGTGTGTGTGTGTCAGAAGGGAAGGGTAGAGTGAGGAAAAATGTGAAATAACAAATCATTGCTGCTCCTTGAGAATTAAAGAGCGTCATCACTCGGCAAGATTGCTGTATCTTTATTTGCAGTATTAAACCATATACATGCACCCCACTGCCTGCATGTCTGCCCATGCCTGTCCCACTGTGGTGTTTCCCAACCTTTTTTACATTATGGAAGATGACAGAGAAAATTCTTTGTAATTCTGGAGGCGACCAGCCTGGGAGCTCCAGCCACCTTAAGTCCTGCCCAGCTAGCCACCCAGAAGGCTTCAATCAATAGCTTGAGACAAACTACTTGAGAAGCTCTGCATTAGAGAAGCAAATTCAAGTTTGACATTTTCTCAGGGGAGTGCTCTGAGAGTGACTGTATAAGCCTCTACTGACTTCAAGCAAATCACAGGCATTAGATACATTAAATGCTGAAGTGAGAGCTCTGGCTTTTTGGATAAGCACAATCAAATATAGTTTTCTGTTTTATAATTTGTCAACTTCTCTTCCAGATTAACTATTTTGATCCCTTTATTACTAAAACATTCTTAAATAAAAATTTAAACTTTAAGCAAATTGTTCAAATGTCAAATAAAAAACAATCTTTAGATACAAAGTTATGGTAACCCAAAGTGACATTCCAAGTTTATTTTACACAGTAAAATGCAGTATTTTCTAAAGCATGATTACTCTAATTCTAAAAGAATTCTGAATATGGTTTTATTTCTGCATGCATTTATACAACATTAAAAGTGTCACCTCAAGTTTGTAAGGTATAGTTTTCTACAGATTATTGTACAGTGATAATAAGTCTCTAGCTTAGCATACCACAGTACAAATTCTGCATCATGTTGGACATTACTAAGCACAAGACATAAACAGGCCAATCAAAGTCCTTTGAGATTAAGAAGTGATAGGTACTAATAAACATAGGTAGACATTGACAAGTCAAGGAACACTGAAGATTTAATGAGTCCATAAAGCATAAAATAATTGATACAAATGTATCTGTCATTTTATTTTTTTTGTGTGTGACAGTGCCTCACTCTGTCACCTAGGCTAAAGTGCAGTGGCATGATTGTGGTTCACTGCACATGCTACCACACCCAGCTAATTTTTTAATTTTTGCAGACACAGGGTTTCCCCATGTTTTCCAGGCTAGTTTCAACTCTAGGGCTCTAGCAATCCTCCCGCCTCAGCCTCCTGAAGTGCTGGGATTATAGGCATGAGCCACCATGCCTGGTTATCTGTCATTTTAAAACATTACCATGAACAATGATTTTGCACTGTCTTAGCTGTTACTGGCTCAGTAAGTATAAAAATATCAAAAAACGAGATCTCAATGAAATTGTAAGTAAAATTACTTTTATTTTCATAAATAGACAACCCCATTATACACTTTGAGTAGAAGTGACATGTTAGTTGTCACTGCCCAGTACGAAAAGCATATAATAGTAAACACAAATAGTTACATCTCTCTATAACCTTCATGTAATTTCTATACAATTGATTAATTTCCAACAACATTTCAAAAAACATTATATATCATGGGATACTTTAGTCAACAAAATATTTATCTGCTCATGTCAAAGATGCCTACTGATTTAAAGTAATACCAGTACCGCTTCATTTTACAGAAGCACTGAGCATATTACATTTTCCATTTCATATATGATAGTATCATCCCCAAAAATGTCAATGTGAAAATTTAGTAAGTAGATTAAGAAGCACAAGTATCTAAGAGAAGTAGGTCCCACAAGCCAGAGAGTAAAGAGCTGGCATCAAGTACTGTTTAACGTTTTGTCAGTAAGTGGCACACAACAAACAGACAAGTGATTCTGTAAAAAAGACAACAGAAAATGCAGTGAGATTTAATAAAGTATTTTTTCCATAGATATTAAAATAAAATTAAATGTCTGTTTAGTTATTACTCCACTTATTCCGGAAACTGCAGCTTCAAATATTAATATTATACTGCAAGCAGTATTTAGTATTTCATATGTTAAGAAAAAACCTCACTGAGTTTATCTACCTTTTTTTAAGGAATGTAAACTATGATATATAATTAATTACTTATTTGAATGCAATATTGATTCAGATAGGCATAATCTACTCATTTTTCATAATGAAATGTGTATTCCTATCTCAACACTTTATGCAGATTTTACTTGTTTCTCACAGGGCTGCTGTGGATTCAATGGCTTATCTACGTTTAGTGTCCAGCACAGCATCTGGCACACAGTAAGCTTTTAGTGTATGCTACTTATATTATTTATATTAAGTGAATCAATCTGTCACTTATGCTAGAAAAATTATCTAATGCCCCAAGAGAATAATCAAAAGTTAAGCCTACAGATGTGTGACTTCTGTTTAAGTATTATGCATCCACTATTTCCCAAATTTGCATACACAGTAAACTAATTGTTTCAACTGTTACAATCTATTTTTAAGATCATATTGTATCTATATTTGTTCTCTATGTTTTTGCTATGGCCTTTGGCCTAAAGAAATATGATTCTGACAGGATATTATCAGAAAACCAAATGTAAAAACAAATGTACACTGAAATCAGGTAACCAAGGCATTTTACTATAACTTCTTTAATAAAGAAGTAGAGAGTTACCAGTGTAATTCAGGACAACCTATCTCATTTTAGTTTTTTTTCTTTACATCATGCAATATTTGACTTCAAAAAACATTTTCCATTCTGTCTTTTCTTATGTATAAACATTAAGAGCTATTACAAAGTTCTGTCCTCTAAGTAAAAAACCCACTAGAAAAGATATTTGTAAAAATCAGTGCAGGGTAACTGATACTGAATGAAGCACAGGGCTACTGGAATAGGGATAAGTTCTTAAAGGTCCCAATATACCTATAAACACTGATTTTTGAGTAAATTATTGATTCTAATATATGTAAAGGACTTGGTGTGATGGTTGTCTGATCTTCAACTGTAAGTGCCAATTTTTCCACCCATCAGAAAAGATAAATGACTGTGAACATAAGTCTGTGCTCTGATTAACACAATGGAAAAGTGGAAAAACTATCTCTGTTAAAAACTGATTCCTGTCATTCTTCTGATATCAAGTAAGAGGAAGGAAAATAAATTTTGTGTGTGTAAATAGAAAAACATACCTGAGGCTGGGGCGGTGGCTCACACCTGTAATCCCAGCACTTTGGGAGGTGGGTGGATCAGCTGAGGTCAGAATACTGAATTTAGGCCAAATCTTTAAGACCAGCCCGGCCAACATGGTGAAACCCGTCTCTACTAAAAATACAAAAATTAGCTGGGTATGGTGGCATGTATCCCAGCTACTCAGGAGGCTGAGGCAGGAGAATCACTTGAATCCAGGAGGTGGAAGTTGCAGTGAGCTAAGATCATGCCACTGCGCTCCAGCCTAGGCGACAGAGGGAGACTCTCTCTCAAAAAAAAAAAAGAAGAAGAAAAGAAAAAAGAAAAAAACGTACCTGAAACCAGAATTTGGCCCTATATTGACCTGAAACTTATTACTATCCAGAGTTTAACAAAAAGACCCAACCCCCAAATATACCCTTTAGAGGCACAATAAAATCTTCCAAATGTTGTCCTGATTAAAAAGGAGAATCTGAAAACAAAGCAACAAACACCTCCTGTATTAAAAATCAAGAACAAGCTGAAGGCAGATACCCTCTGAATGCAATAGTTATTCTACAAGCTTCAGAGAAATCATTTTGAGAAATAAGAGCTGCAACTCTGTGGTTTATCTTATCTACGGCTAGAGAAATTCTAAGTGCAAATTGTATTTTAGGAGATGTAGCACCCAGTGTCCTTCTGAGGTTTGATATCTGGTTCTTTCACAGGTTTCACTTCTTCTTCTGGTTTGGGTTTAGTCTAGGGAGAAAAAAAAAGAAAATACAGTTTAAGTACATAAATGAAGACTGAGAAAACAAACACTAAATCTTTTCCATTCAGACTTTTAAAAGATGTTATATTAAATTATATAACACGGATACTGACAAAGCTATTCCAGAAACTACAGACCAATTCATTTTAAGATATAATCAGAAAGCAACATTTCAGTAAAGATCAAAACCTAGTTTGGTAGGCAAAAATCAAGCTAAGGGTACTCCTACTACATATTCTTTTCTAAGTGGTCTATCTATACATGTAGAACCCTAAAGGTTAGATATAACTTATGACATTAATAGGCTATCTCTTAGGGCATTATTTCATAGTTGATCAGAATATAAAGACAGTTATTTTAAGGAACAAATTTTAATATGGGAAGGAAATTATATAAACAAAACCCAATTTCAAGGAAGGAGCAATGGCTATAAAATAATTTTCATTCATTCGTCACAGATCCCTAGTCTTTTGGTAGTTAGACCTCAAAATTTCCACTTAATTTATCATTTGATTTAGAACACCAAGATGTACTTAGATAGCAATAAATAAAAGTATTCTTATTTTATTCCTGGATTCATAGAATACTGTAATTAGGCCAAATCCTCAAACGCTCTGCAATTTGTTAAACAAAAACAGAGTATTGCTATAGCAATATAAACATGGATGATCTTTTCTCCCACACTTTTTAAAGGTGGTACTGACAAGTTGTAAAGAGGCAAGATAATGTGTTGAAAAGAATGTCATTATTCAGAAGACATAAGGCCTAGAGGTCTTATCTCTGAGAGTGTTCTACCACAGATTATACTAAGCACTATAACTATCTAACTTAGCATTTAGACAAAGATATGTATCTATTTAAATAAAGAAAAATATCAAAATGCTAACTCTGAATTTTCTTTTAAACTTTTGGTAATGAAAGCAAAAAACAAAACAAAACAAAAACCAATCTCATACACTGTCATCCTTGGGTCTTTTGGTGAGATCAAATGCAGCCAATGTTTCTGGTGTCCACTGAGCACTTGTAGGAGGAAATTCGAAAGGTACAGGCTCTACGAGACCATAATTTGCTTTGAGTTCCAGCTGTGGGGCTTCTGTTGGAATTTTTTGAAAGTAACTGCAAAAAGTAATTTAAATAGCAATTCATTCATTTGTTCATTATTTGAGAGCCTACTATGTTCAAGGTCCTGTTTGGGACAATGACATTTTAATCATGAATAAGAGGTTTTTCTGCCTCATATAGATAAGTAAGTGACAAAATCAAGAAACTTTGTCAATTACAATGCAATGTATTGGAGCTACCATGGATATAGAGTGCTGTAAGAATGCAGACAAGGGGAATTAACCCAGAATTAAGTTCAGTGACTCTTTCCAAAGGAAATGATTAAAGGTGAACTAGGCATGTTGAAGGAAGTGAAAAGCTCAGTATGTATAGATGAAGAATATAAAGGGAAGAATGTAAGGAGATAAAAGCAGGAATAAGATTGAGTCTACCCAACTACACAGATGGTAATCTACAGTTGGAAAAACACTGATTTAATAATGGAAAACCTCTTGAAAAACAAAACAAGAAAAGCTGAGAGCTGAAACCAGAGTGAGATGAAGATGCAAAGGAGGTTGAGAAGATACATTAAAACATGGAGAAAGAATGGCAGGGATGGTTAAGAGAAAATCAGGACACTATGTGAGTGTCCTAATGAAATGAACTCTACGTTAATAACTAATGTTTTAATTTTAAAGTCTGCTTTTATATATTATCATCCAAAGTAGAATAAAAGGCCCCACACAATTGAACTTTATCACTAATGTAAAGAGGAAACTAATGTGAAACGTAAATACTATATATATTGGAGACAGTGTCTCATTCTTGCCCACGCTGGAGTGCAGTGGCTCAATCATGGCTCACTGCAGCCTGGACATCCCAGGCTCAAACGATTCTCCCACCTCACCCTTCTGAGTAGCTTGGACTACAGGCGTGCGCCACGGCCAGCTAATTTCTTTGTATTTTCTGTATAGACAGGTTTTGCCATGTTGCCCAGGCTGGTCTCAAACTCCTGGGCTCAAGGGACTCACCTGCCTTGGCCTCCCCGAGTGCTGGGATTACAGTTGTGAGCCACCACACCTAGCCCGTAAGTGCTATTTAACATAAAACTTTTGGGAATAGAGACTAACAGAAATGATATTACTAAAATATTAGTATTTTAATATAATTATAAATCAATATATTATTACTAAAC